AACTCACTATAAACATTGAAGGGACTCAGATAAACTTTCCTCAAAAGACAAACACTTTGTTTCAATTGAAAGATGGAACAATTTTGTTGCCAAGAAAGGTCTGATTTATCAATCTTTTGCCTCTTATAATAATAATTACATAGTTTTTAAGATTCCCCCTTGCTTAAAGCATAGTGCTACCTGATCATGACTGATCATCTACTGAGTCTACTTTTATCCCTTTACATCAGTATGCATATTCTCCTTGCTGTTCTCTATGCATTTCCTGAGGTGCTAACAAGGAGAGTTTGTTTATTAATCTATTGGTCTTTTAGTTTGTGATAGTTTCCTTTACTCTCATGACTTTTAATATTTAATTCAGGGGAGATATTGTATGGAGAAATTAGATGCTCGTCACTCTTATGGTTTAAAGCATTAAACATTTATATATTATGGACCTTACGCAGTCAAGATGGCAATGCTGAGGTGGACATCAATTGAAAAAGATGTGTTTACTGACTATTATTGCACCACGCCTTGAGTTTCAGCGTTAAGTATGTTAGTGCCCCAGAGTTGCAATTAAATACTTGAATAATTTGTTGTTGCGTTTTGTTCTCAGACCACGTGACAATTGACAATTTCATGTTGTTGTTTTTTAGGCAATGCCTGAGAAATGAACAAATTTAAAACAGCAATTGCTCTGTCCATTAGATCTCTTGTTTTGCAATATCCTTTTTGCCATTGCAGTTGTGGTTTGTTTAAGGTCCTTATTCTATTTGGCACCAAATTAGAGGTAACTTACTGATTTCCTGATTTCTGCTCCACATTCCCCAAATCCACCCTAGAAATAAAGAAACATGCTGTTGATCATGTTCACTTTTTTCTTGCTTAACAAATTAATACATTAAGAAAAAACCTGATTCAAAAAGAAACTACTGATCTACAAAGATGAAATATTAACTTTGTTATCCCGTCAAGTCGCCAACTCACCCATGGATACAATTACTTCAATAAGCTCATTAAAGAATTAGTCTTGTTTTAAGTGATGTTTTGATGTTTTGATAACAATTTGTTAACTTTACGCCCTTGCAATGCATACCAAAGTATTGAGCGAACACAGGGCGTAAAATTGTGCCTAATACAGGCACTGACGTAACTAAATTTTTTACTTTGGCAACCAAGTCCTGAAAATTAGTTGCCAAATTGGCAACTAGAATGTTTCTTAATAACCTTACCTAGAGATATAGTGAATTAAAAAGATTTGCAAAGATAAATCCACTGCAAACTTCCTCATTAAGTTTGTTTCCAAAATGTAGCACACACATTTCGACCGATAACTACATGCCATCTTGGATTTAGGTGAGCTTGAGGGTTGTATATCATCAATCCTAGTGTCCACTTTGTAGCACATTAAAGATCTTTTCCCTAACTTAATTTTGGAGGGTCTATCTAGAACACTGACAGCATAAAAAAAAGGTTTTGTTTGTCTTTGAAATGGCAGCCAACTTTTTTTGAATTGGCTACCAAATCGAAGAATTTAGGAGCCCAGTGGCTATCAGAAAAAAAAATTAATTTCATGCCCTGAGTTTCTGCACCATATCCTCATGAAAAGGAACAAGTCACATTCTCATTAACCATTAAGTAAAGTATGAAGATACTTTACAATCTTATTCGTTCCACAAAATCCTCATGAGATTTTTTAAAAGAAAGTAATCACCTGAGAAGTTAATTTTATTCATTCTTATATTGAAGAGCTAGAAGAATCTTTGATATAATTCTTGATAAAAGTAAGGAGATTCAAGTTGTCAATATAAGAAAACAATTATCTTAAAAGTTATGATTCGGTCAAAGAAAGTAATTAACTGAGGGATTAATTTTATTAATTCCCATATTGAATGCATCTGTAAAGTCAAAGGTGACAGTAAAGTGACACCCTTGGCTGCTCATCATGTGACACTTTTTTGTTCTCACCACATATCACCGCAATCTGTAATCTACAAGTTAACCGACCTACAGCAACATGCAATCTATTTGTTGACTTCATATCTGAAACATTTGGCCATGTTACGAAGACAACCGTCAAGGAAAAGTGCAGGGATACTCAGCGTTCTTTAATACACATCTGAGCTTTTCCTGAACTTAGGTTCTCTCAGAAAATTATGTTTTTCACTTGATTTCCATTGCTTGCTTATTTGCTGTTTTCATTTTTTTTTGCCTGACCAAATGACTAAAAGGAAATAGGAAAGGATATATTTTGCATGCATAGCTCTAATCTTGTCTGCATGGTTAACTACCATGGGTCAGGTCAGACTGTGACATTACATTCATTATATGAAATACCATTAATGATGATCTTCTCACTTACATCTTCTCTCTCTCACACCTGGATGACCTTCAGGAGAACCTTCCACTAAGAAAGCAAAAAAATTGTCATTCAATTAACCTTCAGTGATTTGAAGGAGATTTTGTGAAAATTTTGTATGCAGCTTTGAAGCTTTGAGACAGGATTCAGTGAGTCTTGCAACATAAAATAAGATAAATTTCTTGGCTTTAATAATCTTGAAGTTAGTTCAAAGACATCAGATTTAAGGAACGCTCGTGACTTCACTAACTTGAGGGAACAAAATTTAACTGTTTTGCTGGGTTGAGAAGAAAGTAATTCAGTGTAACTGGACATAATGCATTCCAGTCTTTGGAGTACACCAGGCCTACATGCTACAGAGCTGGAAAACATTTCAGTGCATGTCACAAGCCTTTCAGGGCTCATGCTCATGAAAAATTGTAAAGCTGCATGCAAGCAGGGAGAGTGGTAAAACTTGAAACTCTTTTCTATAGAATGTCATTCAAAAAGGGCATAAAATCTATTTTTGCACGCCATAGTTTTTACCTTACACACTTGCTGAAATTAAGCTGCAAACTGTTGTACTTTGATGACAAAAATGCGCTCTACAATGACACCCATATGTGAGCTGGGCGGTCCTCCACAGGAATCTGTTTTTGTTAGCGGCTTCAATGGATCAAAGGCATTTAACGTTTCAACTCTTTTAAAATTACCGCCATAGTCACGAGTGCAGATGTTATTCAGCTCTATCGCCGGTGATACTAAAACTACTGCGTGCAATATTGTGATTCTGACCCTCAGAATGGACTTTGAGAGAAAAAGATTTTTCTTGTACTTGCCATACTCTGCAGACTGGCAAACATCTATTCACTAGCAAGGTTGACATCATACATGAAAACCTAGATACATCGAGACTTACACAATAATTTCATTTGGAGCAAGAAAACAGTCTTTGACGATAACCTTCCTCCGATGCTGTAGACAAATACGAAACCAATAATTTTCAAATGTTTAAGTACATTTGTACCTGAAACACAGCCCGAGCTGATAGCCCAGCCATCACCAAGAGCTCCTTCCTTGCATTTGCATGCAATAGCACCATCTCCCTCCAAGCATTCTGCATGGTCATCACAGACAGTTCTTCCAACTGAAGCATAGTCGTCAGCACAGATCTTGGGCTCTGTTGAGGAAATATAGGTAGGCAAATATTTAACATGAATTGTATTGATTGGTGACCAGAACTTCTCAAAACAACTTCCGGGAAAAAAATATCATTCTAAAAATTGAACCGATTCGTTTCTTACCGATAGGCTCCTTACTGATAGGCTCCTTACTGATAGGCTCCTTACCGATCGGCTCTTCACCGATAGGCTCTTTACCAATAGGCTCTTCCGCATACGCGTTGCAAAACAGAAGAGAGACCACTAAAGATACGAACATCGTTTGACCGAAAGAAATCCTGACCTTCATCTTGCTAATCAATCGAAATGTTAGTTGCCTTAGTTTGTAACCGTTCAGCGTCAACTGTGACTGATTAGATCAAATTTATGTCTTTGCTTTTCATGTCGAATTCCTCAAACGTCAACTGCTGATGTTAGCAGTTTTAAATGAGTTTACACCAATCACCTCCTGTATACAGAAACAAATTTCATCGAAGGTCTGCTGGAATCTTCCAATGACGAATTATAATTGCCACATCACACTGTTTACCGTTGGTTATTCAAAGATAAAACGTGCCAAGGACCGTCACACTCCATGCAGGAACTTGATGTCAAAGCGTTTTCCATCTTTTTCTACGAAGCATGTTTCGCCGCCATTTCTCGTGTACACTAGTGTACCGACATTTGTTTTCCAGTACCCGCGGACAACTGTGACAGAAAACGCGGAGGCCTGTAAACATTTTAAATAATCCTAAATAAATTGTCTCAAATGAAAATTATTTCTAAAGACTGCAAAAATCAGAAAAAAGAAAAACCCATCTGTATCTGTTTCCCTGCAGTGCATTTCCGCTGCCTTTAGGGCACAGGCAGACCACACTATGTGTTCGTGGTTAATCATTGTTGACATCTAAAGTACATCTATTTCTGAATATCTCAATAAAGTTAAATTAAATGTTAATCAATACATTGTGGTATTTTTTCGTCTTCATGAAACGTCAGGCCGGCCAAATTTTAGAGCTTCATTCATAACCTTGGTAGATTTTGTTTGTCTCATGTCAACAATAATTGGCCACAAACACATAGTGTGGTCTGCCTGTACTCAAAGAATCTGGAAAACAATACAAATTTTCACCAAAAGAAATTAAATTGTACCCACGTGTAGAATAGTTATGCAACTAGCCCTTCAACTAGTAATATACAATTCTTTTATTCCATTCTTAAGATACTTAACCCTTTAACTCCCAAGATGTAATTGTTAATTCTCCCTACACTTTCTGCAGATTTCCTTGTAAATTAGTGACAAGTGTTTGGTTTTGAATCAAGATAAAAACTTGCACCTGATAAGTTTAGGTATTCTCATTACCTGCTTGCTGGATAATGTATGTAAATTATAGGGAGAAATTACATGTTGATCACTTCTGGGAGTTAAAGGATTAAAAGCAATTACACAACAAATCAGACTGACATGAAGAACATTTGTTTAATGATTCAATAATTCCTCCATTTGCCCTGATAAATTCATAAGTATCACAATATAGACATCATCTCCGACACCTTTCCACAGCAACTCCACCAGCATCTTGCACTCGTCTAAACAAATCAATATACTGAGCAGCTCTTATAGTCCATGGGAGAATATAATTTTTACAAAAATCCAGCTTTTTGAAGGGTTCCATATTTGTTGGCAAAAACTGATTCAGGAAGCCAAGAGCAAAATCATAGCAATTATTGTTGTGTTCATCATACCTAAAAATAGTAATAAAAAAATACTCTTAATGATGAGGTACCGGTAAAAGGGAATGAACTCTTTAGTGAATTCTGATTGACTACTAGATTCTCCCTTAAAACTGTCAGTTATTCCTTCGAAAAACATGGAAAGAATTTGGTGTAGCTTAAAAAGTTCACTTTCACCAAAGGCTTTACACTATAGATCATTTTAAATGCAAAACTATACTCAAACCACTACCAATAATGTATTCATCTTTTTTGTCTTTTTATCAGCTAGATAGATGTAAGGAAAGAAAGGTTTCTACCAGAGCCTGTTGATCAGTGCTCCTCATCTTAACCCTTTGACCCATAAAAGTGACTAGAATCTAATTTCTCCTTACAATATCACCCCTGAATCACATATTAAGGTCATGAGAATAAAGGAAATGATCACCAACTGGAGAAGCTTTGAATGTTGAACAAATTCTCCTTGTCAGTACCTCAGGAAATGTATAGAGAAAATCCACACTGATATTAGAATGTGAAGGGTTGATAAATAATACTTACAAATTGTTATGTACACTGTCATAAAGTTGTAAAGAAAAGAAAAACTTGTATCCTCAATTGAACCTTGTTTATGGTATATGTTGGTCTCGAAGTGTCAGAAACTATATACATGTTATTTGATATAAAACAGATGAATCAAAATCAAGCCACAAAATCAAGGTGTTTCCTGTACAAACGAAACCACAAACGTGTGACTAAAGGTTACATGAAGAAATTGATTAAAAATAAATGTGACTGTTTGTAACATACACCATTACTCATGCATGTATAGGAGACATAATGCATTGTTCCAAAAAAAACATATCACCAGAAAACTCATTGTAAGATAACAATACCTAAACTATAGTATCAATAAAACATACTCTTCTGGAGTCCATAGACTACTGCTATACATCTGTTTTAGTCTGGAGTCCCAAAGCTCTGAAGTAAAATCTTTAATTTCAGTTATGCCTACAACAAGACACTGTTCCCAGCCAGTTCTATCTGCATGAAGCCCAAGTTCATCAAAATTATAAACCATTCCATTTGAGGAGGTAATTCCAACATGAAGATTATCTCCACTTTTATATTCTCTGCAAAGTAAATATATTTCTAATCAATAAAAATCTTACCCTTGAATGAAACAACAGAAGAATCTTCTCAACAAAGCCTCAAAAGAATTTGACTGTAACCACCCCTTCCCCCCTTAGAAAAAAATTGCAATTTTTTTTAAGGCCTTCTTTCCATGTGACCAACAAGATCATTACGGAAATCCAACTTTTTAAACCTTTTGTTCCCAGAAGTGACCAAGACATCATTTCTCCTTACAATATCAATATCATATCAAGCAGACTAGTGTTAAGAATAATGAAAGATATCAATCAGGCTCGACTGTTATTTGATTGAACATCAAATTCTCTGAATCACCACTAAAAGAAATATATGGCAGACAGTTAGAGGAATCTCTATTTAGATCTTGGGAGAGCAAGGGTTGATGCAATTGAGAAGCTCACTTGAAAACCAGGCCTTGTGTAAATGCTCTAATGATCCCACAGGGATAGAAGTCTGAAGATATACCAAGTGGCCCATCCATCCAGATGTACCTTGTTTGGTTTTCCAAAGCAAACGTCGACCGACGCGTCGGTAGGATCGGATTCTTTACCTTTACCGAGTATTGATACTTGCTCCCTGGATGGGATGTTTGCAACTATTGTCCCTCACCAATCATCCTCTAGTGTTTGGCCAGACTCTCTCGGTAGTTTCCCAGTACCCCTCCATACCCATGGAGAAAAGCACTAATCTCATGAAACATTAGGGACAAGATTTCCGTACAGCCCCTTACTTAATTATGCATACAGTTCTTGGATAAAGAAAACAATGGCGGATAGCCTTTGAGTCTACGGCTTTGTTTTAGAATATATAGTAAGAGATTATACGGAAATCCTACCACAATGGGTTTCAGTTCTTACCTCAAGAAAGAGCCCCTCGTCGGCTTCACCACAAAAGAGCACGAACTGTCATTTTGTGACAAAAATGGACTTGGAACACGGAAAGGCGGAATTATCAGAGAACAACCTTTCAGTGATTTACCACACAGTGGACATGTCTCCGGAAACTTTGAGAAGAAAATATTCATTTGATTAGTACAATGCTGCATGCAGAGAATTCTATCCTCTGTATCTTCGCTCATTGTCCATTTAACAATCTATCCAAGGCAATTACAACTCGTTCGCGTCCGCCATATTTAATAATCTCATTCCCAATGCCCTCGGTCGCGGAACTTAAATTCCGGAAATTCCGGAAAATACCGAGGACTTTCGTTCGAGAAAGGCGAAGAGCGAAGTCGAGAAAGCGGCAAAAGCTTAGCTTTCAAGGGGCTAAAAATCGGGGAAGTGCTGGTGAAATCGATTTGCAATTGAAATTTCGATGGCAAAGTATCAGCTTACAAAGAACAAAAATGCTTCAAAGCATTTCCTACATTCCGTATCTGACATGGCAAATAAACTGTCAAACGTACAGGAAATATGTGGAATATTCTTGGCAGGAAGAATATCTATGGAAGTTTTTTGAGCCGTTTGAATGATGTATTCTCTTAGCTTGAGCTGAAAAAAATTGATCAGTATTTATTTAGGCTTGTTGCGGCGCCATAAAACCGCAAGCAAAGAAGAAAACTTTTCTTGTCTTCCTAAGCTGAATAGATAGGTAGCCATCCGGAACAGAAAAAAAATTAAATATTTTGTCTTTGTTGCGCATTACCGGCTTTTTAGCCTTGCCACGGCTGTCGAAAAAAACACCTGCTTTGTTCTAAAAATTGCGGAAATTTTCTCTTCATCTGAAACAATCGCATTGACTTGTTTTTAAACATTTCTACTAAATAAGCTCGTCAAAGCCTATTTAGCATTGGGCGAAAAATAAACCGCGTGGATTCAATTAACTTCTTGAAATTAATTAACTTTTTAAATTAGATTTCTTGGCGGCATTTAATAATTTCTAGCGAGACAGTTTTACAAAGTAAACAACTGCGGTGTCAAGAGAAGCGAAGAGAGCAAACATTGTACAATATAGGTATCTATTTCGAAAGAATTTATCATTTACTTGATAATATTGAGTACATGTCGCTTGGATCCGTGTCATCGGAGACAATTCCCAAACGGGACAGCCGCTAAAGACCGTTTTAAAGAATCTGGTTCTTGTGATCGGGTGCGCAAAGCCCCCGTAGAGAGTAATTGTTTTCAATTGGGCTTCACACATCTTGAACAACTTAGTACTCAACTCCTTCGCCGAGATATCATACTGGAAAGCTCAACGCAACTTTAGTAATGTCCTCTCCAGCCTCCGATTTCTTCCCTAATGCGACACCAAGCGTTCCAACTGTGCCTTTTCAAGTAAATCCCATTTTGGGACTGATTGTAGAAGTCGTGATTTTACTTCTGATTTGTGGACACTTCTTTATAATCACGACCCTCGGTTTATACAAGCCGTGGAATATTGCCGACCTGTTGTTGTTTTCGTTGTCCGTGGCGGATGCCCTGAATGCTGCGATACCCCTGCAAATGTTGAATGTACTGAATAACTTTATTGGTCCAGAGACATGGAATGAAGCCTCATGTGCTGTTTTCGTTATACTGACATATACATTCCGTATTGCCTCAGTGTGCACAATAACTCTGATATCTGGCGACAGAGCTATTCTATTGACAAGACCGCTTCAACATCATGTCATCGTTACGATAGAGAGGGCGAGAGTAGCTGTCATTGCAATCTGGCTATTCTCTATTTTCATGTCGATTTTGCCGTTTATTGGGGTTGGGAAAACGGGTTATCGGAAAGGCTTCTGCTTTTACCAGCTGTACGATTTCGGAGTGGCATACGGTTACATCATAGAAAGCATTGGTATCATGCAGTTAATTCTCGTCTTGATCTGTTTTATTGCAATCAAGTTATCAAGCGGCAGGTTTGTAAAGCGCCAGTCGACGATGGCGGCTTCCAGGCAAACTGGCGGGAAAAACAAGCAAGCGCGGGAAACGGCTGGCACACGGCAAGTAAAGCAAATGTCCACTATGATGGCCATGGTAGTGTTGCTGTATTACATTAGTTGGTTACCTTATTTGGTAAGTTTATCCGAGCGTGCGTGCGAGTCTTTTGCATGTAGCCGTGTGTGTTTTTAAATCGAACACTACCTCTAGATTCCTATGAAAATAACAATCCTTAGACCTGCCTCAATGCTAATTGAAGATTTACTCATGTTGCAGCAAAAACCGTGAAAATATTTGAAAACAATTCAGTCTGGCAGCATTTCAAAAGACGCGTATTTGTACACAAAAATTACTGAATATTTCAATTCCAATTACAGCGGTTGGATGGTCTAATAAAGCTGTGCACACAAACATATCTTACGTTTCCCTCAGATGATTACAGTTTTGTCGATTGGTAATTAGTTTTCCAAAACAAGTGTTTGAAAAGAAAATTTTCCCGTTTGTGTCCATATGTTTATCACGTTTATATGAACTCGTTAGCGACGGTCGAGAAATGTGAACCAGTGTAAAATGAATTACTGTTTGTAGTTGAGTATTAATTGCTTTCTGGTCGATGACATTGGATCGTATCGTTTGTTTCTCTCGCTTTAAATGGGTTTCGATAAACTTTTCTTGAATTCGATGTTCAAAGCTAACTAACAGAAGGAATAAACACGAGGAAAGCAAGCAGATGTTGTTTCAAAAACTTCATTTCATGGAAAATTATGTGTCGTCTTTCCTCAGCCTCATAAACCGAAGACTGAAAGCTTGAAACTCAATTACGGTAATGAAGTTATTCACGGTTCCAGCAATAACTCTTATAGTCTCCAATGTTTTGCATAAAAGCATTTCAACTTCCATTCAACAAGCAAATATTTACTTTTGAAAAATCAGAGTAAACGCTTAGTAATCTGAAATTCTTTTAATTCCAATGGTCCTAATTCGTCAATGGCACCTTGGAAACCAATCGTTTCGTTCCACCTGACGACGGCTTCCAACATATTAATTCGAATCATTTAATTTTGTCTTTTCTTCAGCCTAGCATTGTGTATAGTTCTATAAAACAATGGAGGGATTACTGACTTTACTTGGTTGCTTTCTCAGCCATGTTTTAAAGTTTTCAAGTTCTTTACCAGTCTTTTAGCTAGCTTCTCATTTTTCTCCTTTGTGGGCTTGCAGTTAGCTAGCAAGTTAGCTTTCGTAACCGAATCACTCCTTCCAAAATCTCTCATTCTCTGGAAGGTTTAATCCCATCAATCGAAAGAGAACAAATTATTTCCTCCAATTGCGTATTGAGTTCATTGCAGCTTAATCCAGGCATTACGTAATGAAAACAAATTGATAAACAATAATCAGCTGTAATCGAACTAGTATGTGTTGAAAGATTGCGACAATTTGGAAAGCGAAGGCGAAGAACATTCTTCGAAAAACATTTCCTTGCCTTTTGTAGCTTTGGGAGGGGGTTATGATAGCGATTTTTTTTCTTTCAATGAAAAACTTTTCTTTCCATTGTTTACTTGCGATACCGCGCATGTTTTGAAAAAAGTGATTTGAACGCACTAATTTTTGACTGATTACATCGATCGATATGATTGTGCTTGACATGAAAGAAAAGCTTAGCATTTCTCAAACAACCATGCCTCCCGTTCCTGAGATGAGACTATTAGAATCTTAACTTTTCGTGTCCGCTTTATTGTTTCATTAGTTTGTGGGAATTGTGCATTGACAAAGCTTGTTGACCAACCCCACTGGTGTTTGGTTAATACCAAACAAGATAACTTCATGCAGTTTGAATCGAAAGCATAAATGACCTTATGTATGTGCCAGGGTTTGCAAAGATATTACAGTTAATTAAGCGAAAGTAGCAGTTAGAAGTTCAATTTACGAGATAAAAGTCTTGAGTTTGAACAGCGTCCATCAAATAATCAGTCATGTAAACCCATAATTAAATAACACAGAACAGTAGCACAACAGTCAAACGTTGGGCATGCGCGATCAATTTTGGTTGCGCGCCAATTTCCCGCGCAAAATTCCAAAGGAAAACATAACAAACAACCGCTGTCTCGCAAAGTGAGAGAAAGATAATTGAAACGTTCGTAGAAATTTGTAGAAAGAAGGGATCCTTCTCTCTACAAAGAATTACCTGAGACCTCTCGGAAACGAAGCTTATTCAATAACGGGTATTCTGTTGATTTACCACTCTATTATAAGGTTACCAAAAACGTTAAACGCCTATGAAATACCATGACTTACCGACTTGTGCAGTTGTTTGTTACCCGTGTGAGAGAATTTGGTTATAACGGCCTGAAAGCATGCTACCTTGTCATTACAATGTTTGCACATACACAGACGTTTCATCACAGTGTTGACTAGGTGTCTCAAATATTAACTATTATTTATTATTTTTTTTCAGTTAATAAACCTCTACGGTATGGTAACAGGGAAATTCAACCACTCCCAAGTTGTCTTAGTTGGCCTGCTATCTCTTGTAAACGCGCTCATCAACCCCATCTTGTACGGGAAAATGAGCCTGCGATACCGTCAGGGTTACATTTTCATCTTCAGGAAAATATTATCTTTGTGTGGTGCGTCAAAACCTGACGGCTCATTCTTTGGTAAGATTCTCATCAAACGATTCTTAGAAGTTCGTTCGTTTTAGAAGTATTAAATGAAGCATATTCTTTCAAATTACCAAATTTTAGATGGATATGACCATCGCAAACTTTGTCGCTTCTCCCTTTTAGAATAAGTCAAGTTGTTGGTGTTTCTGCAGGGGTACCCCACCTGTCTGCCAGCATTATTGAACTGCTCCATGAAGGAAGTTGGAATGGAAGAGGAAAGAGAGAGGCGTTTTGAATTGATATGTGGTCTTCTTTTCAAATAGATTTATCCAAGATTGCAGTCTCTTGGTCTACATCTGGTTGAAAATGAACTTTAGTTCACCACTATTTTAGTCTCCTTTGCAGCTATTGTTTAGTGTTGTCACACTCGGAGAGGTGTTGCGTGACGAAATAATACTAAATGACGCATGTGTGAGAGGCTATTCTTTGTTTGTCACATATCTTTCTAATCTGTTATATTTGTCACAATTTCTCTCACAGACGGTACACGTCGCGCTGCTTCGAAAATTGCAAGAAACTCGACAGCAGGTACTTCCTGCAATGCCAGACAAAGCATTGATGCTGCATTTCAAGATGGCGGATTTAAGGGAGCTAAAGATGAATCTTCGACGAGAAGAGCCGGCGTACGATTTG